AAGCTGCGCTAAGCCACCAGCCGTTCCCGCTGCTCGAGCCAGGGACGAACCGCTACCCCAAGCTGTACAAGGTGTACAGCGATTTCCTGAACGTGGGGCACTGTGGAGTCGACGACGAAATGTACACACTTACCTTCATCGACGCCGAGACGCGCTATGTGTGGATCGTAAATGTTGAGTCACGCGACAGAGCCTATGAGGTGTTCCGCCTCTGGCTTGCGCACGCGCAGCGGCAATCCGGGGAGAAGTTGAAAATCTGGCAATCTGACGGCGCAAAGGAGTTCAGGAGCAATCAGATGCAGAGTTACCTCGCGCAAAAGGGGATCGAGCACCATATTTCTCTCCCCTACGTACACCAGCAGCAGGGCGTAGCTGAGCGGACGAACCGCACGCTGATGACGAAGGTGCGAGCATTGATGAAGCAATCAAAACTGCCGCCGATCTACTGGACTTACGCGATGCACCACGCCGTGCGGGTGCACAACTTACTGTCAACTACCGCCATCACCGGCAACCTGTCCCCGCATGTGAAGTGGATTGGGACCAAGGGGGACACGTCCATGCTTCGCGTGTGGGAGTGCATGGTCCAATACCGCCCGCGAACGTCAACCATCGGCAAATTCGCCAGCCGCGCGCGTTGGGGCATTCACCTCGGCATCAGCCACGAGCACAAGGCGTGGATCGTGCTGGACCTGCTCAGTCAGAAGACCACCCACGCTCGCGATGTGATTTTCTACGAACGCCTCTTCCTCGACCAGTTCCGCCACGACGAGCAGACGAATGCAAACCGTGTTTATGCAAACGATGGGCACAGCTACGCAACGCCCGAGGACGAAGCTGCGGCAGCAATCCTGGAGCAGGACACCAGGGGCGAGTTCACACGGGGAGATCGCAGCAGTGACGACGACGACGACGACGATTCCTCCGGAGGAGGAATGGGCGGAACAGGCGGAAGAGGCAGTGGCGCAGCACCACCTGCACCACCTAAACCAGAGAGCGATGACGACGATGTGCAGGAAGTCGTCCCGCAACGTCGCCACGACAACACCGTTTCAGGATTGCAGCTGCTCGGGCTTCACACCGCAACCTCGAAGGCGCCACCTGTCATCGAGCCGCAAAACCCGTGCCAAGCACTCACTGGACCACACAGCAAAGAATGGCGTGAGGCGATGGACGCGGAAATCCCGAGACACCTGGGTGTTAGTCGACCGCGCAGCGGTTAAAGGGGCAAGAATTCTTTCGGGAAAATGGGTCTTCCGCGTGAAGACCGCAGCAGATGGAATGATCGAGCGTTTTAAAGCGCGCTGGGTGGTGCGTGGCTATTACCAAAGGCATGGGATCGACTTCGACCAGACGTTTGCTCTAGTAAGTCGCCACACCTCCGTCCGAATCCTGCTCGCCATCGCATCCGCAAGGCACCTACCTCTCCCCCAGATTGACGTCAAGAACGCGTTCCTGTACGCATTAGTAGATGTCGTAATCTAAGTGGAGCAGCCGCATACATACGGCGAAGGGGACTCGCGCGTGTGTCAACTGCGCAAGTCCCTTTACGGGATCAAGCAGGCACCGAGGCTGTGGCAGCAGTATCTACACAACATTTTGCTTGAAATCGGGTTCAAACAGATGCCGCACGATCCTGGGATGTATCGCCGTGATTTCCGCGGCGAATACATTCTGCTCACGGTCTACGTCGACGACCTACTTTATACAGGATCGAGCAACGAACTGCTCGAGCAATTCAAGAAGGCTCTGGCAGGGCGCGTCGACATCGCATGCAACTATGAGGTGAAGCAGTTCTTAGGCCTCAACATCTCCTACGCGCCTGAGGCCATTCACCTCTCAGCGGCTAAGTACGCTGAGGAGTTAGGGAAGCGGTTCAACATTTCACCTGCACCGCTCCCCACTCCCTACGGAACTCCTGGACCGAACCACAAACCTGACAACAAAGCCCTATCCCCTGCTGGAGTTCAGACTTACCAGCAGCAGCTGGGATGCCTGCTCTTTGCCTCTGTCACATGCAGGCCTGACCTTTCCTACATCGCAAGTCAGCTGGCCCAGTATTCACGCAAACCAACGGCGGAGAATCTCCTGGACCTGCAGCGCGCCCTTCAGTTCTTCGTTTGAACGCCCAAGATTGGGCTGTGCTACTCAACTGCACCAACCCTGTCCTTCAACCTCATCGGCTACGTAGACGCCGATCACGCAGCAGATCCCGACAATCGACGGTCGAGGATTGGCTTCCTGTTCCGACTCGAACCAACGGGACTAATCTCCTGGAATTCGCAGAAGCAGGAGCTGGTTGCCCTGTTGTCAGCCGAAGCGGAATTCATCGCAGCAACCGCAGCAGTTCGCGAAGGCCTCTACTTGCAGGAACTCCTGCAGGAGGCGAAAATGTCGAAGGTCCACTGGTGATCCCCGATTGATCCTAGGGAAGGGTTACAGGCATGTTGGCCTGGGGGGTTATGGGCGCACTGACCCGCTACTTAACAAGCCCTTTTATCCCAGTGGTCTAGTGGCTGGGATTCTGACATGGTATCAGAGCGAAGGTCTCGTGTAAGAATCCCGGTGTGTGCACTTCGGGCATCCCAGTGCGGGGGGGTGTCAGAGGTCTAGTGGTGATCCCCGATTGATCCTAGGGAAGGGTTACAGGCATGTTGGCCTGGGGGGTTATGGGCGCACTGACCCGCTACAAACCTTTTTATCCCAGTGGTTTAGTGGTTGGGATTCTGACAGAAAATTCTAGCTTCGTCCACCTTTCGTCTTCACTGCGACAACCAGAGCGCGATTCGCATCGCGAACAAACCTGGTTTCGTCAACCGCACATTGCGTTGCGGTATTTCTTCGTGAAGGACGAAGTGGACAAATGCAAGGTTAACTTGACCTACTGCCCGACTGGTGACATGGCAGCAGACTTTCTCACGAAGCGACTGCCACGCCAGCAGTATCAGCATTGCTCCGAACTCAGCGGAGTGGTCAAGCAGGTCAAGTCGAGCTGCGACCAGGAGTGAAGGGGGGTGTTGCGAATAGCAATGAATGAAGATTACAGTGCACTCCCGACCGCAGCTAAAGAAGCATGCAGTATCGAGAACGAATGTGAAGAGTCAGAATTGACTCGAAGCATCAGACAGTTGGGATGCATCTGGACCGTCGGAGCAGACGGCATCGGGCAGCTGCAGGTAGAAGGATTCTGGCGGGAAAAGTTTCGTAACTGTACACGCCGCACGGTTGGGAATGAACTTGAATAAGGGAATGTACCCCTTAGAGTACATGGCTAGCTAGGTCGATTCATATTCCCATGTACTCTTATTTATATCGTTGTACTTGCATGTTTTTATTATCTCAAGCATTTTACATTCACTCTGCTATTGAGGTCAAGGGCCTACCACCACTAGACTAGAAGTGTGCGAACCTTCCTGAGGTGATCCTGGCTACGATATATTATTGATCGCAGCATAAAGGATGAACAATTTGGGCCAAAGGCTTTAAAACACAATTGTACCCCCATCTAGATCAACGGTCGCCATAGATGCCTGTCCAGGAATACCGTACTAATATTCTTTGGACCAAATTTAATAACTGATGCATCTGTGTTTATAACTCGTAAGACTTGAGCACTGTAGGCACCACTCGTAACAATGACAGTAATCGCAGGGACTGAAAGCGCGCCAAAACAATCCAGGCGTCGCCTGCCAAATGTGAAACAAACATAATCCTCCATGTTCTGCCGCCAGCACAGCAAAAGCTGAGTAGGTGCCTGGAAACATGGTTGATGATAAATAAATTCGGTATCCGTAGTTTTGATTCCCATATTCTGGTCGGTTCAAAATTGGGTTGCGTGACTTGCCTTGTCCAATTCCACTTCGCCTCGCCTCTGCCCGCACGCAACGCAACCCTAACCAACCATTCCTTGCCGTACACTGTTGACTAAATCGCATGCGCTTTCGCCGTGCTGAGCTGAGCCAAGTGTTGTCGACTCCGCGACGATATGGATGCTGGTTGGTCGTTTCTCGACGACAGGTCCCCATCGACTTGTCGAGCGATGCTTGCCTCACACTCACCACCCCGTGGGTGTCGCTCAATCCTTCTTCGACTTTCACGTGTCATCCGGGCAGCAATTGAAAAGATTCCACATGCTTCTCGTCCGTCTGTCGTGCTCGCAACACGTTCTTCCAGGATGCCCGCCATGCATTGCTGGCCAAAGTGTGCCAGTTTCTGGGAACACAACACGATGCTGGAGTCGCAGAGTGACGTAATCACCGTTGAGTTCTTTCCACAACCCAACCTTAAAGCCGCGGTGCAGATATCTTAGGAACAGTGACAAACAGTTTTTTGTCTTGTTCCTTCCTGGTCGCCAATTGGCTAGCGAGAGAGTAGATAATGTTGCGATGAAGAGAAAAAGAAAACAACTGAGGCGAACGTCGCGAACCTCGAAAGTGAGGGGGAAGGGGAAGGGGTGGGGGGAGGGAAGGGGGAAACACACACGACAACGCGAAAATCGGAACCCATGAATACGCCGTCATCTCTACATTGCATAACGAAAGAGTTTGTATTTCAAGTACCACACAAATATAATATTCTGCGACTCAAAGGCACATTCTAGGATTTCAGAAATATCAAAGTTTGGGGTGGTTGTTTCCTTTCTTTTTTTTTGGGGTGCAACGAATGTACACATGGCAGGCAAACATGAGTGTCTTTAAATCCAACATGGCATCTCCAAGATGAGCTAAACTTCACACCCCTCTGGTCCATTATTGATGCAGCTGTCCACCGATAGCAGGGGGGGAGGGGGGTAGGGAAGGACACCAGCCGTAGAAGTGAAAAATGTTCGATGGGAAAATTGAATGGAGGGTTGGCAGAAACAGTGGGGTGCGCGAAGGTTCAAAGTGGTGGGGTGGGTGAAGGGAAGTAGTAGGGTGGGTGAAGGGATGGCCGGGAGAGGGGTGAATGGTGGGATGGGATAGGGGGAAAGGGAAGGGATGGGAGAAAGGGAAAGGAAGGGTTTAGGAATCGGGGGATGCCTTGAAAGGACAAGGGTAGGGTAAAGGGTGGATGGTGGGGGAAGGAGGGACGGACACCGATGGAAGGAGGGACGGGGACGGGGGGAAGGTTTGAACGGTAACGGGGGAAAGGAGGGACGGCGGGAGTGGGGGAGAGGAGGATTGGTGGTGGAGAGACGGTGGGAGCGAGCCGCTTGCTACCGTCGCGCCCAATCCTGCCTCCTGGGAAGGGCAAGAGGCTAAGGCATCGACGGACAAGGGGAGTTCGGGAATGGGGAGGCGTGAAACCGAAGGTGTGGCATAGGAGGATGTGCCATGGGGGATGGTGGCAGGGGGGAATGCCCTGGAACAAACAATCTCTCACGCTTGAACTAGGACAGGAATGGGATAGGACAGGGGGAAGGAGAAAGCGACAGGGGGAATGGGATAGGACAGGGGAGGGACAGGAGAGGAGGGAAAGGGATGGCCATCAGAAGGGTGAATGGTGGGATGGGATAGTGGGAACGGGAAGGGATGTGAGAGAGGAAAAGGAAGGGTTCAGGAAAGGGGGAAATGAGCAGGAAAAGCAGCGACGATAGTGGGGGAAAAGGGACGAATGGGGGCAAGGGGACGGATGAGAGCAGGGGGGAGCAGTGGGTTGGGAGAGGGGAAAGGAGGGAGGGAGAAGAAGGGGAGGGAAGGATAGGGGGACAGGGCAGAAAGAACAGGGGGGAGGATGCATCAGGAGGAACGAAAATGATGAAAGGGAGGGAAGGACTAAGGGGAAAGGGAGAGAATGACAGGGGGAAAGGGTGGGAAGGACATGGAGGAAAGGAGGGAAGGACAGGGGGGAAGGGATAGAAGGAGTGGGGGAAAGGGAAAGAAGGACAGGGGCCTATAGCATCGATCGCTGCTCTTCCCACCCTTTCCCCCTGTCCTCCTCTCCCATTCCGGCCCTGTCTGCTCGCTACCCTTGCCTTCGCCGCATCGCTACCAATATCGCTCGCTAAAGCCGCTTGCGAGGTTTGGACGCGAGATGCTTCGCCACCGTCGGAACAGATGCTTCGCCCCGCTGCTCGCTAACGACACCCTGCTGCACGCTAACGTCGCCCCGCTGCTCGCTACTGTCGTTATCGCTGCTCACTATCGTCATTGCGCTGCTGTCGCCATGCTGTTCGCTACCATCGCAACCCTGCTCGCTGCCGTCGCAACCCTGCTCGCTGCCATCGCAACCCTGCTCGCTACCGTCGCCGCTCTGCTCGCTATCGTCGCCCCGCTGCTGGCTACCGTCGCACCCAATCCTGCCTGTCGCCATCGTCGGTGCTTGCCACCGCCGATTCGTGAGAAATAGAGGGACGGGAGAGGGAAGACTGAACGACGACAGCGGAGGAAATCTAGCGCAATGCGCTACGGGTACGACTGCCGTGGTGTTTTTTGAGGTACGAAATAGCGCAGATATTCGAGCGCACACTAAAAGGCGAAGAAGAGAGATAGATATGAGGCGAATGGCTCTCAGTAGCCCTACGGGAAGGCACTTCAAGTTAGTAGTAACCTAGCCTAGCGCGAGAGATTGCCGAGTTTGAGTAGTTTTGAGTTCAAGTTTCAAGTTTCAAGTTTGATGCCTGGCCCCCCCTTCATGCTGTTGTGCGGTGCTTTTCCGCAAGCCCTCCCCAGCTTCCCCCCCACTCATCATGCTGCGAGGCACTTTTCCGCACGACCTTCCCCCGCTCTCAGAATGCTATGCCTGCTCGACTTCCAGTGTATACTGGGTAACGCGCCCTTCAAGCTATAATACTTTGAACTGGCGCAGAGATATCTGCACCGCGGCTTTAAAAGTCTTGAAGTTGCATTGTTTGCACTTCCATGTCACATCACATCCACTCCAGCATGAAAGAGAAAAGTATCTCAGACCAGAGAAGACTGTTCCGCAAAGCATGAACATCTGTTTCGCAACCACCAATGAACCCTCCTTCCCATTTCCTCATCCGCGACGCGAGAATTATTCCCACCCCGTCAAGCCGCGCGTCTCGATGCGCCGAATGAGCGGACAAGCCGTGTTTGTTGGTCCAATTTCACCCATTGGCTGATCGCCCTTCGTTTCTGTCTGAACGGCCTCAATCCGCCGCACCTCTTGGCATCTTTCTTCCAGCCGCACCTCCTTCCGTCGCTCCTTCGCCTTCCCCTGCCTCTGCTGACACCACCTCTGCTCTGCTGCACCCGCCAACGGCTTATTGCGGTAGGTGTGTTCGTGATTCAACTCATTACACATCTGCCAACGCCAACAAAACGCCCAACCAACCACGGATCGTTCTCCTCCACACGCCAACTCCCACATCGTGTGCCCACGCTACCCACAACAGCACTTTTTCGGTTGTCCAGCTCCGCCTGACCCGCGACTACGTGCTTTCCAGCCGTCGTTCCGTTCATATCTTCCTGTCAATTCAACTCGTTTCGCCACGCCATTCACGCTTTTCCCCTTCCCGACTGCGCTACCCGCCCTGGAAGCCCGTTCAACCATTCTAGTCTAGGTCAGCGTCACTTTCACCGTCACCCTTCCAAGATCTCGGCTCATCGTCCCGTGAGTCGTACCGGCACAACCAATCTAGATCCTTCCTAGAGCTTTTGAAAACATCCTCCATTTGTACAGTCAGTGATCCGTGAAAGCTAATCGTCACTCGAAGTCCAACCTGATCCGCTCGTTCGTAGTCCACTGCAACGCTCTCTCTTCCGATCGCTCTCAAATATTTCTCCCAACAAGCCTTTCGTTGATCTGCGCATCTCCGATCCACCATACTAGCCTGCTCTAGCAGTTCGGTCTATTGTTTCGCAAAACCAGTGGTTGTAGTCCTGACCTGCTCTGACAACTTCACACACAGTACAAGAGAAGACAGGCCGTTACATCACAAGACAAGACAAGTCAGTACAAGACAAGTCAGTACAAGACAAGTCAGTACAAGACAAGTCAGTACAAGACAAGTCAGTACAAGACAAGTCAGTACAAGACAAGTCAGTACAAGACAAGTCAGTACAAGACAAGTCAGTACAAGACAAGTCAGTACAAGACAAGTCAGTACAAGACAAGTCAGTACAAGACAAGTCAGTACAAGACAAGTCAGTACAAGACAAGTCAGTACAAGACAAGTCAGTACAAGACAAGTCAGTACAAGACAAGTCAGTACAAGACAAGTCAGTACAAGACAAGTCAGTACAAGACAAGTCAGTACAAGACAAGTCAGTACAAGACAAGTCAGTACAAGACAAGTCAGTACAAGACAAGTCAGTACAAGACAAGTCAGTACAAGACAAGTCAGTACAAGACAAGTCAGTACAAGACAAGTCAGTACAAGACAAGTCAGTACAAGACAAGTCAGTACAAGACAAGTCAGTACAAGACAAGTCAGTACAAGACAAGTCAGTACAAGACAAGTCAGTACAAGACAAGTCAGTACAAGACAAGTCAGTACAAGACAAGTCAGTACAAGACAAGTCAGTACAAGACAAGTCAGTACAAGACAAGTCAGTACAAGACAAGTCAGTACAAGACAAGTCAGTACAAGACAAGTCAGTACAAGACAAGTCAGTACAAGACAAGTCAGTACAGACAAGTCAGTACAAGACAAGTCAGTACAAGACAAGTCAGTACAAGACAAGTCAGTACAAGACAAGTCAGTACAAGACAAGTCAGTACAAGACAAGTCAGTACAAGACAAGTCAGTACAAGACAAGTCAGTACAAGACAAGTCAGTACAAGACAAGTCAGTACAAGACAAGTCAGTACAAGACAAGTCAGTACAAGACAAGTCAGTACAAGACAAGTCAGTACAAGACAAGTCAGTACAAGACAAGTCAGTACAAGACAAGTCAGTACAAGACAAGTCAGTACAAGACAAGTCAGTACAAGACAAGTCAGTACAAGACAAGTCAGTACAAGACAAGTCAGTACAAGACAAGTCAGTACAAGACAAGTCAGTACAAGACAAGTCAGTACAAGACAAGTCAGTACAAGACAAGTCAGTACAAGACAAGTCAGTACAAGACAAGTCAGTACAAGACAAGTCAGTACAAGACAAGTCAGTACAAGACAAGTCAGTACAAGACAAGTCAGTACAAGACAAGTCAGTACAAGACAAGTCAGTACAAGACAAGTCAGTACAAGACAAGTCAGTACAAGACAAGTCAGTACAAGACAAGTCAGTACAAGACAAGTCAGTACAAGACAAGTCAGTACAAGACAAGTCAGTACAAGACAAGTCAGTACAAGAACAAGTCAGTACAGACAGTCAGTACAAGACAAGTCAGTACAAGACAAGTCTCAGTACAAGACAAGTCAGTACAAGACAAGTCAGTACAAGACAAGTCAGTACAAGACAAGTCAGTACAAGACAAGTCAGTACAAGACAAGTCAGTACAAGACAAGTCAGTACAAGACAAGTCAGTACAAGACAAGTCAGTACAAGACAAGTCAGTACAAGACAAGTCAGTACAAGACAAGTCAGTACAAGACAAGTCAGTACAAGACAAGTCAGTACAAGACAAGTCAGTACAAGACAAGTCAGTACAAGACAAGTCAGTACAAGACAAGTCAGTACAAGACAAGTCAGTACAAGACAAGTCAGTACAAGACAAGTCAGTACAAGACAAGTCAGTACAAGACAAGTCAGTACAAGACAAGTCAGTACAAGACAAGTCAGTACAAGACAAGTCAGTACAAGACAAGTCAGTACAAGACAAGTCAGTACAAGACAAGTCAGTACAAGACAAGTCAGTACAAGACAAGTCAGTACAAGACAAGTCAGTACAAGACAAGTCAGTACAAGACAAGTCAGTACAAGACAAGTCAGTACAAGACAAGTCAGTACAAGACAAGTCAGTACAAGACAAGTCAGTACAAGACAAGTCAGTACAAGACAAGTCAGTACAAGACAAGTCAGTACAAGACAAGTCAGTACAAGACAAGTCAGTACAAGACAAGTCAGTACAAGACAAGTCAGTACAAGACAAGTCAGTACAAGACAAGTCAGTACAAGACAAGTCAGTACAAGACAAGTCAGTACAAGACAAGTCAGTACAAGACAAGTCAGTACAAGACAAGTCAGTACAAGACAAGTCAGTACAAGACAAGTCAGTACAAGACAAGTCAGTACAAGACAAGTCAGTACAAGACAAGTCAGTACAAGACAAGTCAGTACAAGACAAGTCAGTACAAGACAAGTCAGTACAAGACAAGTCAGTACAAGACAAGTCAGTACAAGACAAGTCAGTACAAGACAAGTCAGTACAAGACAAGTCAGTACAAGACAAGTCAGTACAAGACAAGTCAGTACAAGACAAGTCAGTACAAGACAAGTCAGTACAAGACAAGTCAGTACAAGACAAGTCAGTACAAGACAAGTCAGTACAAGACAAGTCAGTACAAGACAAGTCAGTACAAGACAAGTCAGTACAAGACAAGTCAGTACAAGACAAGTCAGTACAAGACAAGTCAGTACAAGACAAGTCAGTACAAGACAAGTCAGTACAAGACAAGTCAGTACAAGACAAGTCAGTACAAGACAAGTCAGTACAAGACAAGTCAGTACAAGACAAGTCAGTACAAGACAAGTCAGTACAAGACAAGTCAGTACAAGACAAGTCAGTACAAGACAAGTCAGTACAAGACAAGTCAGTACAAGACAAGTCAGTACAAGACAAGTCAGTACAAGACAAGTCAGTACAAGACAAGTCAGTACAAGACAAGTCAGTACAAGACAAGTCAGTACAAGACAAGTCAGTACAAGACAAGTCAGTACAAGACAAGTCAGTACAAGACAAGTCAGTACAAGACAAGTCAGTACAAGACAAGTCAGTACAAGACAAGTCAGTACAAGACAAGTCAGTACAAGACAAGTCAGTACAAGACAAGTCAGTACAAGACAAGTCAGTACAAGACAAGTCAGTACAAGACAAGTCAGTACAAGACAAGTCAGTACAAGACAAGTCAGTACAAGACAAGTCAGTACAAGACAAGTCAGTACAAGACAAGTCAGTTACAAGACAAGTCAGTACAAGACAAGTCAGTACAAGACAAGTCAGTACAAGACAAGTCAGTACAAGACAAGTCAGTACAAGACAAGTCAGTACAAGACAAGTCAGTACAAGACAAGTCAGTACAAGACAAGTCAGTACAAGACAAGTCAGTACAAGACAAGTCAGTACAAGACAAGTCAGTACAAGACAAGTCAGTACAAGACAAGTCAGTACAAGACAAGTCAGTACAAGACAAGTCAGTCAAGACAAGTCAGTACAAGACAAGTCAGTACAAGACAAGTCAGTACAAGACAAGTCAGTACAAGACAAGTCAGTACAAGACAAGTCAGTACAAGACAAGTCAGTACAAGACAAGCTAGTACAAGACAAGTCAGTACAAGACAAGTCAGTACAAGACAAGTCAGTACAAGACAAGTCAGTACAAGACAAGTCAGTACAAGACAAGTCAGTACAAGACAAGTCAGTACAAGACAAGTCAGTACAAGACAAGTCAGTACAAGACAAGTCAGTACAAGACAAGTCAGTACAAGACAAGTCAGTACAAGACAAGTCAGTACAAGACAAGTCAGTACAAGACAAGTCAGTACAAGACAAGTCAGTACAAGGACAAGTCAGTACAAGACAAGTCAGTACAAGACAAGTCAGTACAAGGACAAGTCAGTACAAGACAAGTCAGTACAAGACAAGTCAGTACAAGACAAGTCAGTACAAGACAAGTCAGTACAAGACAAGTCAGTACAAGACAAGTCAGTACAAGACAAGTCAGTACAAGACAAGTCAGTACAAGACAAGTCAGTACAAGACAAGTCAGTACAAGACAAGTCAGTACAAGACAAGTCAGTACAAGACAAGTCAGTACAAGACAAGTCAGTACAAGGACAAGTCAGTACAAGACAAGTCAGTACACGACAAGTCAGTACAAGACAAGTCAGTACAAGGACAAGTCAGTACAAGACAAGTCAGTACAAGACAAGTCAGTACAAGACAAGTCAGTACAAGACAAGTCAGTACAAGGACAAGTCAGTACAAGACAAGTCAGTACAAGACAAGTCAGTTACAAGAAGTACCCAAGACACGTTCAGTACAAGACAAGTCAGTACAAGACAAGGTCAGTACAAGACAAGTCAGTACAAGACAAGTCAGTACAAGACAAGTCAGTACAAGACAAGTCAGTACAAGACAAGTCAGTACAAGACAAGTCAGTACAAGACAAGTCAGTACAAGACAAGTCAGTACAAGACAAGTCAGTACAAGACAAGTCAGTACAAGACAAGTCAGTACAAGACAAGTCAGTACAAGACAAGTCAGTACAAGGACAAGTCAGTACAAGACAAGTCAGTACAAGACAAGTCAGTACAAGACAAGTCAGTACAAGACAAGTCAGTACAGACAAGTCAGTACAAGACAAGTCAGTACAAGACAAGTCAGTACAAGACAAGTCAGTACAAGACAAGTCAGTACAAGACAAGTCAGTACAAGACAAGTCAGTACAAGACAAGTCAGTACAAGACAAGTCAGTACAAGACAAGTCAGTACAAGACAAGTCAGTACAAGACAAGTCAGTACAAGACAAGTCAGTACAAGACAAGTCAGTACAAGACAAGTCAGTACAAGACAAGTCAGTACAAGACAAGTCAGTACAAGACAAGTCAGTACAAGACAAGTCAGTACAAGACAAGTCAGTACAAGACAAGTCAGTACAAGACAAGTCAGTACAAGACAAGTCAGTACAAGACAAGTCAGTACAAGACAAGTCAGTACAAGACAAGTCAGTACAAGACAAGTCAGTACAAGACAAGTCAGTACAAGACAAGTCAGTACAAGACAAGTCAGTACAAGACAAGTCAGTACAAGACAAGTCAGTACAAGACAAGTCAGTACAAGACAAGTCAGTACAAGACAAGTCAGTACAAGACAAGTCAGTACAAGAAAGTCAGTACAAGACAAGTCAGTACAAGACAAGTCAGTACAAGACAAGTCAGTACAAGACAAGTCAGTACAAGACAAGTCAGTACAAGACAAGTCAGTACAAGACAAGTCAGTACAAGACAAGTCAGTACAAGGACAAGTCAGTACAAGACAAGTCAGTACAAGACAAGTCAGTACAAGACAAGTCAGTACAAGACAATGTCAGTACAAGACAAGTCAGTACAAGACAAGTCAGTACAAGACAAGTCAGTACCAAGACAAGTCAGTACAAGACAAGTCAGTACAAGACAAGTTCAGTACAAGACAAGTCAGTACAAGACAAGTCAGTACAAGACAAGTCAGTACAAGACAAGTCAGTACAAGACAAGTCAGTACAAGGACAAGTCAGTACAAGACAAGTCAGTACAAGACAAGTCAGTACAAGACAAGTCAGTACAAGACAAGTCAGTACAAGACAAGTCAGTACAAGACAAGTCAGTACAAGACAAGTCAGTACAAGACAAGTCAGTACAAGACAAGTCAGTACAAGACAAGTCAGTACAAGACAAGTCAGTACAAGACAAGTCAGTACAAGACAAGTCAGTACAAGACAAGTCAGTACAAGACAAGTCAGTACAAGACAAGTCAGTACAAGACAAGTCAGTACAAGACAAGTCAGTACAAGACAAGTCAGTACAAGACAAGTCAGTACAAGACAAGTCAGTACAAGACAAGTCAGTACAAGACAAGTCAGTACAAGACAAGTCAGTACAAGACAAGTCAGTACAAGACAAGTCAGTACAAGACAAGTCAGTACAAGACAAGTCAGTACAAGACAAGTCAGTACAAGACAAGTCAGTACAAGACAAGTCAGTACAAGACAAGTCAGTACAAGACAAGTCAGTACAAGACAAGTCAGTACAAGACAAGTCAGTACAAGACAAGTCAGTACAAGACAAGTCAGTACAAGACAAGTCAGTACAAGACAAGTCAGTACAAGACAAGTCAGTACAAGACAAGTCAGTACAAGACAAGTCAGTACAAGACAAGTCAGTACAAGACAAGTCAGTACAAGACAAGTCAGTACAAGACAAGTCAGTACAAGACAAGTCAGTACAAGACAAGTCAGTACAAGACAAGTCAGTACAAGACAAGTCAGTACAGCGACAAGTCAGTACAACAGTAGTACAAATGTCAGTACAAAAGACAAGTCAGTCCAAGACAAGTCGTACAAGACAAGTCAGTAAAGACAAGTCAGTACAAGACAAGTCAGTACAAGACAAGTCAGTACAAGACAAGTCAGTACAAGACAAGTCAGTACAAGACAAGTCAGTACAAGACAAGTCCAGTACAAGACAAGTCAGTACAAGACCAAGTCAGTACAAGACAAGTCAGTACAGACAAGTCAGTACAGACAAGTCAGTACAAAGACAAGTCAGTACAAGACCAAGTCAGTACAAGACAAGTCAGTACAGAAAGTCAGTACAAGACAAGTCAGTACAAGACAAGTCAGTACAAGACAAGTCAGTACAAGACAAGTCAGTACAAGACAAGTCAGTACAAGACAAGTCAGTACAAGACAAGTCAGTACAAGACAAAGCAACACAAAAAGAGTCAGTACAAGACAAGTCAGTACAAGACAAGTCAGTACAAGACAAGTCAGTACAAGACAAGTCAGTACAAGACAAGTCAGTACAAGACAAGTCAGTACAAGACAAGTCAGTACAAGACAAGTCAGTACAAGACAAGTCAGTACAAGACAAGTCAGTACAAGACAAGTCAGTACAAGACAAGTCAGTACAAGACAAGTCAGTACAAGACAAGTCAGTACAAGACAAGTCAGTACAAGACAAGTCAGTACAAGACAAGTCAGTACAAGACAAGTCAGTACAAGACAAGTCAGTACAAGACAAGTCAGTACAAGACAAGTCAGTACAAGACAAGTCAGTACAAGACAAGTCAGTACAAGACAAGTCAGTACAAGACAAGTCAGTACAAGACAAGTCAGTACAAGACAAGTCAGTACAAGACAAGTCAGTACAAGACAAGTCAGTACAAGACAAGTCAGTACAAGACAAGTCAGTACAAGACAAGTCAGTACAAGACAAGTCAGTACAAGACAAGTCAGTACAAGACAAGTCAGTACAAGACAAGTCAGTACAAGACAAGTCAGTACAAGACAAGTCAGTACAAGACAAGTCAGTACAAGACAAGTCAGTACAAGACAAGTCAGTACAAGACAAGTCAGTACAAGACAAGTCAGTACAAGACAAGTCAGTACAAGACAAGTCAGTACAAGACAAGTCAGTACAAGACAAGTCAGTACAAGACAAGTCAGTACAAGACAAGTCAGTACAAGACAAGTCAGTACAAGACAAGTCAGTACAAGACAAGTCAGTACAAGACAAGTCAGTACAAGACAAGTCAGTACAAGACAAGTCAGTACAAGACAAGTCAGTACAAGACAAGTCAGTACAAGACAAGTCAGTACAAGACAAGTCAGTACAAGACAAGTCAGTACAAGACAAGTCAGTACAAGACAAGTCAGTACAAGACAAGTCAGTACAAGACAAGTCAGTACAAGACAAGTCAGTACAAGACAAGTCAGTACAAGACAAGTCAGTCAGTACAAGACAAGTCAGTACAAGACAAGTCAGTACAAGACAAGTCAGTACAAGACAAGTCAGTACAAGACAAGTCAGTACAAGACAAGTCAGTACAAGACAAGTCAGTACAAGACAAGTCAGTACAAGACAAGTCAGTACAAGACAAGTCAGTACAAGACAAGTCAGTACAAGACAAGTCAGTACAAGACAAGTCAGTACAAGACAAGTCAGTACAAGACAAGTCAGTACAAGACAAGTCAGTACAAGACAAGTCAGTACAAGACAAGTCAGTACAAGACAAGTCAGTACAAGACAAGTCAGTACAAGACAAGTCAGTACAAGACAAGTCAGTACAAGACAAGTCAGTACAAGACAAGTCAGTACAAGACAAGTCAGTACAAGACAAGTCAGTACAAGACAAGTCAGTACAAGACAAGTCAGTACAAGACAAGTCAGTACAAGACAAGTCAGTACAAGACAAGTCAGTACAAGACAAGTCAGTACAAGACAAGTCAGTACAAAGTCAGTACAAGCAAGTCAGTACAAGACAAGTCAGTACAAGACAAGTCAGTACAAGACAAGTCAGTACAAGACAAGTCAGTACAAGACAAGTCAGTACAAGACAAGTCAGTACAAGACAAGTCAGTACAGACAAGTCAGTACAAGACAAGTCAGTACAAGACAAGTCAGTACAAGACAAGTCAGTACAAGACAAGTCAGTACAAGAACAGTCAGTACAAGACAAGTCAGTACAAGACAAGTCAGTACAAGACAAGTCAGTACAAGACAAGTCAGTACAAGACAAGTCAGTACAAGACAAGTCAGTACAAGACAAGTCAGTACAAGACAAGTCAGTACAAGACAAGTCAGTACAAGACAAGTCAGTACAAGACAAGTCAGTACAAGACAAGTCAGTACAAGACAAGTCAGTACAAGACAAGTCAGTACAAGACAAGTCAGTACAAGACAAGTCAGTACAAGACAAGTCAGTACAAGGACAAGTCAGTACAAGACAAGTCAGTACAAGACAAGTCAGTACAAGACAAGTCAGTACAAGACAAGTCAGACAAGTCAAGTCAGTACAAGACAAGTCAGTACAAGACAAGTCAGTACAAGACAAGTCAGTACAAGACAAGTCAGATACAAGACAAGTCAGTACAAGACAAGTCAGTACAAGACAAGTCAGTACAAGACAAGTCAGTACAAGACAAGTCAGTACAAGACAAGTCAGTACAAGACAAGTCAGTACAAGACAAGTCAGTACAAGACAAGTCAGTACAAGACAAGTCAGTACAAGACAAGTCAGTACAAGACAAGTCAGTACAAGACAAGTCAGTACAAGAAAGTCAGTACAAAGACAAGTCAGTACAAGGACAAGTCAGTACAAGACAAGTCAGTTACAAGACAAGTCAGTACAAGACAAGTGTCAGTACAAGACAAGTCAGTACAAGGACAAGTCAGTACAAGACAAGTCAGTACAAGACAAGTCAGTACAAGACAAGTCAGTACAAGACAAGTCAGTACAAGACAAGTCAGTACAAGACAAGTCAGTACAAGACACAGTTAAGCCAGGGCACGAAGGAACAAGATCATGGAGATTCTTTCGGCCATAGACCATGGCGCGAGCCAGGAGCTTCGGCGGCGAGTAGACGAGTCCATGGACGCCATTCACCGCACGCTCACCAAGTACAAGCCCAACGAGATCGCCTTCAGCTTCAACGGCGGCAAGGACTCCACCGTAAGTCTCTGCCTCCTACCCTTTTTTAGGCGCCTATAAAATGTTTCAACGGCGGCAAAGACTCCACCGTAAGTGTTTGCCTCCGCAGTCCGCCAATCCGCGAGCCTCGCCTCTTAGAGCATGCGGTTTCCTCTCTCGCTTCCTCTTTCTCACTGTCATCGACTCTTCCGCTCTTGATCACCTTCGCTCTGTCGTCCTTCTCACTCTCTCGCCACCTTAGCGCTGTCGTCAGATTGCTCCCCGACCTGCTTCCTACCCGGCCTTCGTCTCCCCGCCGTGATCTTCAGTTTCTGCATCTCCCTATTTTTCAATTCCGACTCCCTTCCTAAACCCTTCTTTCGTAACCGTCCCCGCTTTTTTTTACCTTCTCTCTTCCGCAGGTTATATTGCACCTACTGCGCGCAGCCATGGCATGCAACTGGCCCTCCACTCACCTCCACCGCTGCCGCTCCAACCCCGAGCTCCGCTCCTCCTGCTACTGCGCCCTCTCCGCGACCCACGGCGACAGCTGCGACGGCTGCGAGGACTGCGGCGACGACGACGACCCGTTCGCGCCGCACACGCTGTCGTCGTCGTCCGACTGCCTCTTGGCACCTTCAGCGCGGGGGCGCGTGGCGCGGTCCGAGGCGGGGGACGAGGAGGGAGGCGAGTCGTTCAAAATGGGGGCGAACGCCACTTTCTCCGACGAGGAATCGGACGACGGGAAGGCGGAAGCGGAAGCGGAAGCGGAGGCGGAGGCGGAGGCGGAGGCGGAGGCGGAGGCGGAGGCGGAGGCGGAGGCGGAGGGGAAGATGGCGGGAAGCGACGACGGGTGGGAGGGGGAAGCGGACGGGCTGTGCGCGATCTTCTTCCGCGATAAGGACAGCTTCGCGGAGGTGGACGAGTTCACGTTCGACATGGCGCGGCGCTACGGGCTGGCGCTGCTGCAGACCAAGGAGGGGTTCAAGGAAGGCGTGATGGCGCTGCAGCGGAAGCGGCCCGTGAAGGCGATCTTCCTCGGCGTGCGGATCAACGACCCGAAAGGGGTAAGCTGCGATCTGCTTCTGCCTCCGCCTCTGCCCCTGCCTCGTGCTGTTCGTCTCTTTTGCCTCGTTCTACCTGTCCCTGGTTTCGCTCTTGCCTCTCATAACCACCAAGGCCTTCATTCTCTGGCGTCTCCGTCGTTCGACGTATTCATTCTCGTGCTCCACTCCGCTGTGCTCTCCCTTTCCTCGCTTCGTCACCATCCGAGCAGAAGGGCCAGCAGGTATTCGCAGAGAGCTCGCCTGGGTGGCCGCCCTTCATGCGCGTGAACGTGATCCTCAACTGGACCTACAGAGACGTCTGGGAGTTCTTGCTGCTCACCCGTGTGCCCTACTGCTCGCTTTATGATGAAGGGTATGATTCCGTCCCCCGCTGCCCATTAAAACCACTCCCCGCTCCCCCTCTATTCTTCCGCAGTTTCCCTCTTGGCATTCATAGCTTAGCTTAGCCTTTTTCTCCATGATCTCATTCCTCCTTATCCGTCTGCAATTTCGTTCTGATTTTTACAGTTACACCTCCATTGGGGGAGTGAGCGACACCGAGCCTAACTCCGCGCTTCGGAAGGCCAGTGACATCCGCACTTTCCCGCCAGGCCTGTGCCCGTACCTGTGGCTCCTAGCAGAGGCAACAGCAGGGCAAGGGGAGCGGTACAGGAACTGCCCCTTCCTCCCAGCCTACTTCCTGACTGATGAGACTTTAGAGCGAGCAGGCATACATAAGAAGGATGCGCACGCACATGCGCCGGCCAAGGAACCCAGCAACACAGGGAAATTGGAGGGAGCTGCTGCTGCTGCTGCTGCTTCAGATTCAGGGAAGGAGAATGTGGCTGAGGAGGGGGATGTGCTGAACGGAGGCAAATGTGTGGAGGGAAAGGCGAAGGAGGAGATGAAGGAGAATGCACCTGCTGCTCTGCGCAGTGCCCTTGTGGTGGTGTGAGCTTATGGAGCTCCGTTGGAGTTTTTGTGTTGTGCCCAGCCTTGCATTCTTGAGTCCTGGGAATTGAGGTACTCTCAGCCCCCGGCCTGTAAGGAGCTGTGTATATAATTCTAGCATCATGGCCTGTTTGTGTAGGGATTTTAGATTTAATTTAATTCGGATAAATTACTTAGCTTGCAGCCACGGAAACAATCTTGCCAGACGTGAACGATGCTACGTTGAGTGGGAACAAGTGTATGATGGTACCTGACTTGTCTGGCGGGTCCCCAGCTTTGTGCGGGATGTGTGAACACACGCGTTCCTCCACAGATTCCATCGAGATAAGTCAAACCAGCACATCAAGAGGCAGTTCTTGCCCTGAAGACGCGGGCACTAGGCACACATCCAGCCAGCCAGACTATGGTTGGAAGAGGGTCAGTCCACCCTAAGGGCGTGCTCGTTTTGCCACCGTCGGCCAAAAATCGAATTCGAGAATCGAACATGTGACGCCCTGCAATATTCGAACACCATTCTTTCAGAAATTTCGTTAACGGTGCATATGGTACAGAGAAAGCGAACGTGACATGGCGCTCAAACGTGACACACTTCGAGATCGATTTTTCCGAGTCGTGTGCGAAGCACCGCCAGAGTCGCACGAGATACATGCGACTATTATAAGATTTGTTTTGTCGACGTGGCTGATGTGTTTGACATTCCCGCCAAGCGACACGAATTGTCGCAAAGACTGTAGATATTCGCATAGATGCGACGAGATCGCATCCTGGAATTGTTCGAGATTTTGCAAGTTCCAGAGTGAAATTGACGGGTGCGAATTCGAAGTGTACTACAAAGTGGACACTAGCCGGAAAGGGTTTCGCGAAGTCAAATAACGACATTGGCGAACTTTTGTAACGGCGCAAAGTTCAATTGTTCGGAAAACGAGCAAACACACCCTAATGAGCTCGGGACGCAACGTGGAAGTTAGAGGGTGTCTCAGATGTCTGAGTCCACGTGGGTACGGCTCGGACCTGACGGACCAGCTCAAGAACCAGCGCGTGAACCAGGGCGGACCGGGACCAGGATGTGGGGCTTGTAACCCCGTTATACCGTTCGAATGGCACTAAAACGGTGCCATTTATTTGGCCCTCCAGACCAGTCCGCGCCTGGTCCGTAAACAGTGGGTGGGGAACATTTGTTTTGGCGAAATTTCTTGTTTTTTGTGCAGACGAAGCAAATGGGTAACTCAATTTCAAATTCGTCGCTACTGCTGCATCTCGCAAATACTGTGCAGCCCGAAGCGCGACGCATCAGGCAGACCAGTCCGTGTCTGGTCCAACGCTGGTCCGCCAAGTGGGTCCGTCGGACCAGAACCCCGGACCAGGCGTATAGATTCTGGTCGCGGACCAGATCCAGCGGATCCTTCACATGAGACACGTCCTTAGTGACATGCTTTTCGGCCAGGATGTTCCCAAGAAAACAAAAATGCCCTCTGCTCTGGCAGCTCAATTGGAGTCAGTGGGCTCGAACAAACTCAGTTTGAGTGAATCGAAAAGCAGTGTCAGAAATAGCGGTACACTACAGTACAAGTGGAACCATTAATTTCTGCATATAAAACTGTACAAATGTTTGGTCTCGTCTCGAAATGAAACGCTGGCAGGCAGGCCACCCCACCAGAGGAAAGCAGGCCCCGTCAAACAGGGCGGGGAGAGAGGGAGGGAAACTCGAGGGGAGAGAAGACCCCACTGTACACCAGAGGGATGGGATGGGAAAACTGTACACCTGACGTCCACGCTGTTGTTGACTCTGGTCTGTGCTGCTGCACGCTGTGCACACTAAAGTCAGCAATCGAGAATGGTACCTACGAGTTTCGCAATTAGCTTCCTCGCGACACAGTAGTGTCCAGTCAGACTCCGTCGGCTCTCAGTGACAATAGAGCGAGCTTCCGTCAGCCAGGCAGAGTGGTGTGAGGTGCTTGGAGCAGGGAGCGCGAGCCACGCGAAAGTACACAGTACTCGTAGTTCCTAGACCAGACGCTCTCTCGCGAAGTGTGGGATATTTCTAGCGAAAGGATCGCTCGTTCGCGCAAGAGATTCGCCCCCGCGTTACAGTTACCCTAATGGTTTATTTGCGTCGAGCATGTGAAGGCGCAGGCACCACTCTACCGCTAACCTACATTACGACCAGGTGTATCTAATTCAGGATTCCGATTCAGTCGTGACAAAAGGCAAAGTCAGCGGGACGACACTCGCGACGAGAATGAATGACTCTCGCCGTTGTTCGTCCGTGTAGTCATTCGACCTACGCCAAGGGACTAAGCTAGATCATACGACGAACCGGCCTTCCTAGTCCTCTCCTCTCGCCTTCATCCCGGCCAAGTCGTTTCCCGTCGGCCTAGCTGCTTCGTCTCCAACAGCATCTTATTATAGTCTCCGTCCATTTCCGTCGACCGTCGCGGGAAGTGCCTCTTGGGAGTCGCATCGAGTCGTCTGCTTGTCGTCGCAGCACTCGTCGTTTTGATCGTGCGAGAGCCGTCAGTTGTCCCTTGGAACAAAGCCGTCTCTGTTGTGAGGCGTCTCAAGAGGGATCAACTCCTTGACCCGTTCAAAAAGCAGCTACTTGATTGCTTGACCTCCCCTGTTGTAGGTAAGCGAAACCCTAATTTCTTTGTTTCCCCCTACCTTCTCTCTCCCCTACCTTCTCTCCCCCCTTACCTTCCACTTTCTCCTCCTCTTCCCGTTTTTTCCTGATTTCTGCTTTCTCCCGTTTTCCTTCGCCCCACTGCCGTGCCCTAAAGCACCCATCTTCTCTCCCCTCTTCCTTCTCTCTCCTTCGCTCTCGTTCCTCAATCCATTCCCTTTCGCCACTTCTTCCCCACCCTCACCCCTCTCTCACACCCGCGTTCCCCCTCCCATTCCCCTGTTTCCCCCCTCCCCCCTTCCCCGTCTCCGTCTAACGTCCTCCTCCCCTTCCCCTTCCCCTTCCCCCCTCAACCAGTTCCGCCATGGCGGGGCGTATCCTAAACCACATACGGCGGTCCAAGGAGCAGCCCGCCTCCCCCAAAACCGACGAGCCGTCCCCCTCTTCCGCCCTCGACCTTGCGCGCTGCCACAGCACCGGCAGCGGCGCCTCCAACTCCCGGCCCAACACCCCCACATGCCGCTCCCCTAGCTTCACCTCCTCGCGCACGGGCTCCGGAGGGGGTTCTGCGCTTCCGCCCGTGCCGTCGCGCGACCAGGCGGAAGCCGCGCGGCTGCTGCGCGAGCTGGCGCTGCGGTCGGAGGAGGCGGAGCGCGCGGCGGCGGCGTGGCGGCAGCAGGCGGACGAGATGCACCGGCTGCGCGCGGAGCGGGACGACCTGCGGCGGCAGAAGGCGGAGCTAACGACGCGCGCGGGGCAGCTGGAAGCGGAACTGTTCGCGGTGAAGATGGGGCAGGTGAGCGCGCGGAGGGGGAGGGGATGCGCGGAACGCGCGTGGGGAATGGTGGGGAACAGACCACCAGGTTGAAAGACATAGAGTGCAGGCAAGAATGTGGAAAGTACATGACATGACATGGCAGGAGAGAACAGAACGAGAAGAGTGGATGTGAGAGCGAGAGAGAGGGGGTGAGGGAGAAGGAGCAAGGAACAGAAGCCGCTGCTGCTGCTGCTGCTGCTGCTGCTGCCATAAGAATGGACGTGACAGAAGCATGTGGGAAACTGCTTGTGGTGGTGGTTGCTTGTGTCAGTCCGGCCACAGTTGGAGGAAGGAAGGGAGCGGAGGGGAGTTTTAAAGGGTTTGAAGAGGGGGAGGGAACATGTGAGGTCGTGGACGTGGGCACAATGATGTGCATGTGTGTGCAGTGCATGTGTGTGCAGTGCATGCATGCGTTTCTGTTTGTGCGTGTGAGGGAGGAGAGGAAGGATTCTGCAATGCTGGGAGAGGGAAAGGGGGGTTGCGTGTGTCTGTCTGTCTGTCTCCACGTGCTTGATTGCTCGAGCGAGAACACGACTGTGGGAGAAGGGAGGTGTGGAGTGCGAGAAAGAAGAGGGACTTATGCACAGGGCGTGTTTTGGAATGAGGGGCATTGGTGCCTTTGTCGCCGCCACGTGTGTGCGTGCGTGGAGTGGCTGGGGAAAACGGCATGGGCGGACTGGCATAGAGTTTGTGCTGCTCTTCTGAAATTGTTATGCACCACCCACCGTTATGCCTGCTAAACACAGGCAGGCAGGTTGTCTTGTCGTTATGCAGACAGAGTGCAGAGTGCAGAGTGCAGAGTGCAGCCCACTTACCTGCTGTGTTTACAGCTGCCGCTGTGCCAGCCGGCCCAGTGATCCTTCCTTCCCCATCACCAATCCTCACCATTTCTCACGGCATCATTCTCCTTCTCCCTGTCTCCCCTTGCTCATTCTCCCTTCCTCCTCCCCTTCCCCGTATTAAGACCCCTCAAACCACGGGCAGCACCCCTAAGAGCACAGCAGCAGCTGCAGGCTCCTCAGCAGACACGGTCGCCCTGCAGCAGCAGCGGCTAGAGTCCCTTTTCAAGGAAAACGCGCAGCTGAGAGATCAACTCACAGAGGCACAGAGACTAGCAGAAGAGTGGGAATTCGCCAAGGCAAGAGTAGAGGACGAGTGGGAGGACCGGCTGAACCAGGCGCAAGCAGCCACAGGGCGGGCGCTTGGAGAGAGAGAGCAGCTGTTTGCAGAGCTGGAGCAGGCAAAGGAGAAGATTGCTTCTGAGAGCTCTGTGAAGAAGAAACTAGAGGAGAGCCGAGCGCTTTTTGAGAGCGAGTTAAGGCAGGAGATTCGGTCGAAAGTGGCTCTGCTGGAAGCAGAGGTGTCGCGGTTGAGTGTGGAGGTGAAAGCTGCGACGAACCGGGCGGAAATGTCGGAGAAAGGCCTGGTGGAGGCGCAGGTTCGGGTGGCGGACATGGAGGCTCGGGAGCGGGAGCATGCCGAGGCTTCAGCTGCGGTAGCGGAGCAGCATGCGTCGCTGCTGTTTAATATGGAGACGGAGATTGAAGGGGCGGAGCAGAGGGAGTCGGAGGCGAGGGCAGATGCGGAGCGGCTTGCAGCGGAGGTGAGTAAGTTGAAGGGCGAGGCGGAGGAGATGTTTCGGGCGAAAACAGATGCGGTTTCAGAGCTGATGCTGATGAAAGGCGATGTGGAGAGGTTGGAGAAGAGCAAACAGGTTGCTGAGGCGGCTGCGCTAGAATTGCGGACTAAGCTTGTAGCTGCAAAGAAGCTAGAGGAGAAGCTGAAGAGACGGTTGGATGTGGCAAAAATTGAGCTGGAAAGGCTCGGAGGGGACTGGAGGGTGGTTTACCCGTTGGAAGAAGAGCAGCTAGAGCTTGCAGCCGCAGCAGCAGAAGCAGCCGAAATTGCGGCTGCTGCTGCGGAAAAGGCTAGTAAGATGAAACCAAAGAGCAATGCTGCTGGTAATGGCGGCGGCGGCAGTGGTGGTGGTGGCGGTGCTGGTGGTGGTCAGTCTTTGTTTGGTTGGATGAGTTCAAGAAACTTGAGCAAGGTGGAACGAGATTGAGAGAAAAGAAACGTTTGCACAATAATCGCGGAGATGCTGTATTTGTCATTTGTACACAATAAAAGACGAGGTTTGTTTTGGAAGTTCCAATTTGTGTGTATAATTGTTGGTGTATTGTGGGGTTGTTCTGGTTCCATACAGTTTTGGGTGTGGAAGAACTGTTTGTAAGAAACACAGACTGCTTTCTGCTCTTAACGATCCCATCACAGTAACGCAGCCAATTCGAACTTTTCAATTTGAATGATCGAAAAGGCGATTCGCTCGCACATGGTCGCTCACGAGAAAGTGGCGAGCTGCGGGAGCTCGCACACTGGGCTAGAGCCAGCCTCACGACGGTGTAACGTCTCGCGACACCCAAGAGTGTGCGACTATATGCGACTTGGACGACAGTCTCCTGGTGGCGGGAAATCTCCAGGTGCTAGACCAATCAGGCCAAGCTGCAAGGCCAAGGCAAACGAGGAGCTGAACTCCCTCCCTCTCCCTCATAGGTTCAAATTCCATTCGCGTGTTATTACTTCAGCGTTTCTCAAGCGTGTTACCTTCCTGCTCATTTCCTCGTTCCTGCAGCTCCAAGGCGATTCTCTCGGTTCGCAGCTTTTAACTAGAATACCTTATTTTTCGTTACGAGGACTATCCTACTGTTACTCCAGGTTCCCCTCATAGTTGGTCATCACTCGCGTCGTCTCGAGGCAGGCGGCGATCGTGACTTCCCTTGAGACTACCTCACTGCGGCTGCTTTCGCCGTCATGGGGTCAAGCTCGCAAATCGACGTGTCTCAGAAGCTACGCGATTCCGGTGATCTTCTGAAGCAAGGCGATGCGGTTCTCGACAACGGCGACATCGAGACTGCCATCCAGCTCTTCGGTTCCGCGCTCGAATCGCGGTACGAACTGAAGCGCATTAATTTTCCTCGAACCTCACATCCACGTGCTATCAAAATCCACCGTCATGCATTCCGTGCCGCCGCATCTTCCCCGCGTATCGGCCTCACGCGCCTATCTCTCCTCCCTCCAATCGTTCCTACTACCCTCCGACCAGAGTCGCTGCGTTCGGCGAGCTCGGCGAGGAATGCGCTGTGGCGTACTATAAGTACGGCTCCGCCCTCTTCGCCAAGTCGCAGCGCGACACGGACGTGCTGGGCCCTGCAGGGCAGAAGCTAGAGCAGGGAAAGGAGGAGGAAGAAGATGTGGAAGCAGAGGAGGGCGAGGCAAGCAAGTCAAAAGGGAAAGGCAAAGGCAAAAGTTCGTTTCTTTCATTTTCGCCTGTGACGATGTGATATATATAAGTGCCCTTCTTGATTCCTTCATGTGCCACCCGTTAGCTTCTCGTTTTATTTTTTAGCACTTTTGGAGCGTTATTCGTCTGTTTTGGTCCGGATGTGAAGCCACGTTCAAACAAAGCATTTAGCGAATCAATCTCACCGAAGTTTCGCCTGTTACCCCGTTACCCCGTCCCTCCGTTACTCTGTCTTCCGGTGTGCAGTGGAAGAGACGGAAGATGCCCCTGATGCAGCCGACGCAGCTGAGGAGGAGGATTTAGAGGACGCAGAGGACGGGGACGAGGAGGAGGAGGGCGACCAGGAGCTCGCATGGCGGCTGCTGGAGACGGCTCGGTGCATCTACGCGAAGCGCGACGCGAGGAGCCTGGAGGAGGTGGATGTTATCTCCACGCTCGCGGATCTTAGTCTTGAAAAGGGTGAGACGGTCGCACTGGGCTGGTGGTGGGGTGTTGAAGAGGTATTCTGACACCTCTCTATGCACCTCCCAGTTGCCTGCCAGAGGACTTCGATGCGTGCATGGAGGACTATCAACACGCGCTGCACCTTCGGACTCTTGATTCGACTCATATATCCCCCTATGCGCCTCCCGATGCCACCTCCCTCTCTCCTGTCCGCTCCAGAGGACTTCGATGCGTGCATGGAGTCAGCACGCGCTGCACCTTCTGACTCTTAATTCGAATATTTTTCCCCTTATGCGCCTCCCGATGCCACCTCCCGATGCCGCCTCCCTCTCTCCTGTCCGCTTCAGAGGACTTCGATGCGTGCATGGAGGACTATCAGCACGCGCTGCACCGTGTGACTCTTGATCCCACTAAATACCCACCCCCCCCCCCCCTGTGCACCTCCCTATGCACCCCGCTATGCCACCTCCCTACTGCCTTCCTGCTTCAGAGGACTTCGATGCGTGCATGGAGGACTATCAGCACGCGCTGCACCTGCTCTCACTGCTCGTGTCTCCGCACCACCGACGCGTCATCGAACTGTGAGTGATGACGTGGTGCCGTGCTGACGTGGCGGTCTCTCTGCTGCTCCTCGTCAGCAGTTTTTGTTTCAGCCATCTTCTCTTTCTCGCAGTTGAACAGACTGAAGTATTAGCAGTTTTTGTTTCTCTTCCAATGTATTGAGCCCCTTCCTTCTTCCCTTCCGTTTCGACTCACCCATGCTGGTACCGCCTGTGCTCACCCATGCTGGTACCGCCTGTTCTTCTATCGTCTGTATTCGGCAGGTATTTCAAGATGGCGTTGGCGAATCAGACGGGCAACCGCGCGCCTGAGGCTCTCCGGTGCTGCCGGCAGGCCATAGACGCGTGTGAGAAGCGCATTGCACAGGCGCAAACGCTTCTTGATGCGAAACGGAAGCTGAAAGCAGCAGGGAAGGAGGGCGGTGAGAGTGTGGCTAGTGGGAGTGCCGCCGCTGCTGAAGGTGCTAGTGCGGGGGTAGAAGCTACGAAGGATGCGGATGAAGCTGCAGGGAACGAAGTGAAGGGGGAAGCGAAGGGAGAAAAGAAGGGAGAAGAAGAGACGAAAGGGGAAGAGAAGACAGAGGAAGAGCAGAAAGAGGAAAAGAAAGAGGAAGAGAAGAATGGGGCAGAGAAGGACGAGCAGAAGGCAGGGGAAGCTGCAAAGGGTTCTGTGGACAAGGGAAAGGGTAGGGCGGAGGAGCGCGAGGCCATTCCGTACGACTCGATAGACGGGAGCAGCAGCGAGGAGGAGCTGGTGCGGGAGATACAAGACGTGCAGCAGATCGCCAGTGACCTCAAGGAGAAGGTGAGAGAGCGCTGCCCTACTGCTATGAGTCTACTAGAAATAACACGTGTCTGAGTCGACGCAAAGCCGCAGCGAGGAGGAGCTGGTGCGGGAGATACAAGACGTGCAGCAGATCGCCAGTGACCTCAAGGAGAAGGTGAGAGCTCCTCTTGGCTTCTTCTTCTCCCCCTCTCCTGGATCCTTGGGCTGATCCCTTCATCCCTTGATTTCTTGACAAGTCCTGTGAACCCCCTTCGTCCATCTTGCTTCATGCCTTCACTGCCCTTCACTTTCTCTGCTCCTGCCCGTCTCATTCAGTCAAAGAACATGGGAAGCACCCCTCTGCCATCTCAAGCGTTTCTGAAGCCAGTTTGACATTATCCTCTTTTTTCCACCGTATTCATCCCTCTTCCCCTTATGGCAGGCAGAGGAGCTTCAGGAGATGATTCGCCTGCCCTCTGTGGAGGCAATGATGAGAGAACTCTCTGCCGTCTTCTCTGGCGCTGCCTCCTCTTCTGCACCCCCTACTACTGCTGCTGCTGCTGCTGCTTCTGCAGCCGCCCCTGCTGCCGCGTCAGCTCCGGCTGCTGCTCCTGCTACTACAGCCTCTGAGCTGCCGTCTGCAGCTGCTGCTGCTGGGGGCAAGGCAGGGGAAGGGGAGCAACGAGGGGAGAAGCGGGCGGCAGAGGTGGCGGTGGTGGGGAGGAGCAAGAAGCGGCTCACTCCTGTGCCTGTTCCACCAGAGGAAGCTGCTGTGCTGTCATGGCCTGGTGTTGCCAGCTGAAGCAATTGCAAGCAGAGGTTATTCCCTACTCAGGCGAATTCCAGCTGATACGTTGACTAGGCTTGCCTTGTGTTTGTGGCACCTCGGAACGCCCGTGCTGCTCGAGTGGGTTTTCCATACTGCAGCGGTTGTTGCGGCTCTCATTGATTTGTTTTCCTTATACAAGTGCCCTTGTGCTGCTGGATTCTAACCCTCGTGATACTAACTCTGAAAGACGAAGGCACTGTGGGATACTTGATATCTCTTATAAAAAAATCCCCATTATTACCAAACAGCACTTTGTGCATTATAAAAGCATGGTATGCCAAGCCAACCACACGTGCCTCACACTTGGACCGCCTTCTCTCATGTCTCCTACTCCATCCCATACAATACAATGCTTCAGTCTGCCTTGGGTGCTCTCCTGCCCCTGCCTTCCTTGGGAGTGGCAGAGGGTGCAAGCAGCAGTAGCAGCAGCACAGCAGCAGCAGCCAACACCAGCAGACCACCCACCGCCATGGATAGTGTACCCTGCATGGGATCACATTACCGGCATGATAATGGGAGGGAAAGCAGGAGTCACATGTACCGTAAGGCTGCAGCCTGAAGCAGGGAAGCATGGTGACATTACAATGACATTAGGATGCCATTAGGTCGACACGTAAGGTGACTTTACGGTGACATTAGGGTGAGATGAAGGTGGCGTTAGGGTGAGATTAGGGTGACATTGCTGCAGTAGAGAGGTAATCAGCTTATTCTCACCACCCCACAGCTTTGCACCACTAGTGCTTCTCCTTTCTCCTACCCCTAACTCTTCTCGATCCTTGTTCGCCCACCCCTTTCCCCCTCTATCCAGCAACCGTTCACCCACCTTCACCCCACATCCACTCTTCCTTATGCCCACCTTTCCCCCAGCTCCCCCCTACCCTCACCTTGTACACAGGGCTGGAAGGGTTGGTGAGTCGGAGCCCATTCACACACACCGCCACTCCTAAGAAAAACGCCACAGAGCCAAACTGCTTGTGCGCACGCTGTCGCCTCCACCACACCCACACCCACCCCAGCAGCAGGTAGATACCTCACCACAGCACCGCCCACAGCAATGCCTGCAGAGAGCACCAGCGCTGCGAGGCCGAGCCGAGAGTGGAGAGTGGTGAAGTGCGGTTTGCCGAGGCGGGTTTTGTTGAGGTAGATGGCGGTGGTTCCGGCTGCAATGGCGGCGCCTGCCAGGCCTTGGAGTAGGGCGTGGATGTTGATCCAGAGAGGTCGTTGCCGTCCCTGATGGTGTTGGGAAATGGTGGGAGTGGAGAGCGGTGAAGTGCGGTTTGCCCAGGAGGGATGCAATGAGATAGATGGCGGCGTCTGCCAGGCCTTGGAGTAGGGCGTGGATGTTGATCCAGAGAGGTCGCTGCCGGCCCTGTCAGTGGTGGTGGTGGTTGGAAGGGGTGGGAGTGGAAAGGGGTGAAGTGCGGTTAGGTCAGGCGGGATTTGTTGCAGTAAATAGTGGAGGCGCCTGCCAGGCCTTGGAGTAGGGCGTGGATGTTGATCCAGAGGGGCCGCTGCCGACCCTGGTGGTGGTGGTTGGAAAGGGTGGGAGTGGAGAGCGGTGAAGTGTGGTTTGCTCAGGCAGGGTTTATTGAGGTAGATGGTGGTGTTTCCTGCCAGGCATTGGAGCAGCGCATGTATGGTGATGCAGAGGGGCCGCTGCGGACCCTGGTGGTGGTGGCAGCTGGAAAGGGTGGGCGTATGGGAAGGGGTTGAGGATGGAAGAGCGAGAGAGGGAGGGAGGGTGGGAAGGAGAGAAGAAGAAAGATAGAGAGAGAAGGGGGGGGAGGAATGGGGGGAAGGACGGGGCCAACAATGTGGACGGAAATGCACGGAATGTGCGTTGCTTGGTGAAGCAGCATTATGAGTGCTGAAGGTACTACCTTGCCGACAGCAGCGGCGATGACACCCTCTCCCATGAGGAATACGAAGCCGAGCGCGAGCGCCGCGGGATGGTACCCGAAGAGCGACCCGTCGCAGAAGACGAGCACGACCGCCATGGACGCGATCGCCAGCGCCATGTGCGCCGCGGTGGTTACCACAGCGGAAGCCATCGCCGTGGCCGGGGTTGCTAGCTTCGTCGCGGCCAGGAATGTATGCGTGAAATGGAGTGCGCGGGTGCAAGCTGGCGAAAAAACTGTGGGTCGGTCTGTGTGTAGTGGACCAGGGGAGACTAACTAGGTAAGTCTCGCCTTGTTGGGCTTGAAAGGCAAGAAACTAATCTCTAGGAAACCTGATGGATTCGAGGGGTGGTGAAACCAGGCAAATTTCCGTACTTTCTGGTTGGGTGTACAGTACGTATGGCAATTTTGGTAGGTTTGAAAACCTGTGGCTCGGGCATCTCCGAGCCGAACAATCCCCAACGCCGCCTGACCACCTGGAACAGCCCGCGACCTATCTCTGGGGAGATAGCCTATTACCAGCTTCGTCTCAGTGTTCGTACTCACGATGATTCGTTGCATACCTTTACCGACGTAGCAAAAATTTGTCACACCAATCGTGACGCTGAACTCACGCGTGACGACACTCGCGAACTAGGACTACCAGCTCGCGAAGCTTTCAGGCGATATTACAAATATCTTCAGACAAACCCAATAATGCCACCAGCACGGGGGAACCCAATGCGCGGAACGGAGCTGCTGCCGCTGGTTGGTGAGGAAGACCATGAAAGCAAGCCACTGATTAGCAGATGCAAGTATGGCAGACTGCTTCATTTCTCCTTCACCTGCTTCACTTCTCCTTCAGTTCACTGTATTCGTCTGCTTCTGATCGAATGGCGCTCGATCATTCCTGCCATCCGCCCTCCGAGGAACGGAGCAACCACGGATAGTCAACCATTGCCATAAGTACACGTCTAGTCTCAGTAGGAAGCAGCGACGAGCGCCGGCCGGACGCTGTCGGGTGCGCTGATCAGCGGAAACTCGACGCGGAATGTTGAAAGGACCGTAAGCAGCTCAAGACCAGCCTGGAGCACGCTGTTCTGGACACTTTTTTTGCATTATTATTGATTTAGGCTCAGCACCATCCGCACCCGCAGGCACAAACTCATCAGCAGTTCAGCCATTGTTCAAGCTGTTGCGCTTTGCGTCGTTTCAATAGTTCGTTAGGACATGGAATGCCGAGGAGTAGTTTCTCTCAGTCTGCTCGCGAGTTCTCTTTAGGGCAAGAATCGAACGTTCTCCAGGGTAGCAGGGACTAGAGCTCTTCCTGTCAGAATCGAACGGTCGAAGAGGAGGTACACTTACGAAGATTTTTTAGCATGCAAATGTTTTTTTAGTCCAGTCGAGAGTCGTTCTCGTAGGCGCAACTAGCGGATGGTTATCAGGCAGACCGCGGATATCGTGGACTCGGGACGCATGGAGTCAGTGAGAAGGTGATTAGTGCGTGAGGTAGTAGGAACCAAGTGGAGGGGGACAGGGATCGGGGATCGGGGAGCGGGGAGCGGGGAGCGGGGAGCGGGGAGCGGGAGCGGGGATCAGAAGGGTGTGTGTAAACTGACAGAGAGTGGGTGGTAGGGGAACGGGGCGTTGGAGGAGGAGCAGGTGGACGGGGGAGGGGGAAGGGGTGGAATTGGTCCAGATTCCGCAATTTTAGTACTAGAAAGTGCTTACCCGGGCGGTCGGACAAGGTGCGACTAAGAAAAGTAGACTGTTTAGAACAGACATAGATCGCAGAGCACCGGATAGCAGAGCATCGCGGAGCAGTGCAGAGCAGAGCAGAGCAGAGCGGACGCGGCACAATCCCACACATGGCGATGAAGCGCGCGTTCCACAGGGCAGGGTCCGGAGGAGGAGGAGCAGGAGCACTAGCAGGAGGTCTGCAGTCGCGCGCGCTAAACGTGATGCTGGTGGCGGGGGACTGTTTCTTCATAGGCATGCAGCCCATCCTGGTGTTCATGAGCAAGGTGGACGGCAAATTCCTCTTCAACCCCATCAGCGTCAACTTCCTCTCCGAGCTCTTCAAGTTCACCTTCGCCATCATCATCATCTTCTTCCAGGTGGGCTGCTCTGTTCTCTGTTCTTTGCTCTCTTCTCTCTGCTCTCTGCTCTCTGCTTGCAGCCCGCTGCCTGCTGCCCGCTGCCCGCTGCGCTCTGCGCCCTCTGCGCTCTGCCCTCTGCTCTCTGCCCGCTGCCCGCTGCCCTCTGCTCTCTGCCCTCTGCCCTCTGCCCGCTCCCCTCTCCCCTCTCCCCTCTCCCCTCTCCCCTCTCCCCTCTCCCCTCTCCCCTCTCCCCTCTCCCCTCTCCCCTCTCCCCTCTCCCCTCTCCCCTCTCCCCTCTCCCCTCTCCCCTCTCCCCTCTCCCCTCTCCCCTCTCCCCTCTCCCCTCTCCCCTCTCCCCTCTCCCCTCTCCCCTCTCCCCTCTCCCCTCTCCCCTCTCCCCTCTCCCCTCTACCCTCGCCCTTCCCCCCTCTCCCCTATCCTCTCCTTTCTCTGGAGATTCAATTCGAGTCGAATATTCAGAGTTTCTTCCATACCTCTTCAAGTTCGTTCACCTTCGCCATCATCTTCGTCCAGCCGTGCTGCCCTGTCCCTTACCCCCCCCCCCCCCCCCCTGCTCCCTTGTCCTCTCCTTTCCCCTTTCTCCCCGCCCACAACCTCCTCCCCCGGTTTTTTATCCCTTGCTCTCCTTCCCTGCACACTGCCATCATCTCTCTTTCAACTACCCCCCTCATGCCTGCCTGCCTGCCTCTCTCCCTCCTTCCCTCACCTCTGCCTCTCCCCCTGCACCTCCACACCAGGCCCGCAGTGCCCGACCCAGCGTCAAAGCTGCCTTTACTCCCATAGCCATCTGGAAGGTACATACATACATGCACATTATGCTGTGCTGCCATTGATTTTTGAGGCGCCTCAAAACGTTTACTCCCAGAGCCATCTGGAAGGTACATACATGCACATTATGCTGTGCTGCCATTGCCTTGACATGTTGTATTCCGTACCCCTATTCCATTTCCTATCCCTATCCCTCCCCTATTCCGATCCCTATTCCGATGCCATATTCCCATACACTATCCTTAACCCTGTATCCCATCCCCA